TAAGGACTTTTAGGCCTATTAGAAAACTTGCTCAAACCCGCAGTCTTGTATACGAGAATCCAAACTAGTATAGGAAATCTGCTCGATGACTATGGCCCAATAAATGTCTGTAAAAATGGAATATATTCTACATAAATGTGGATAAGTGCAGTCCCTTTTTTGATTAGCCTATTTACACATTTTGAATGAATTTAATGTCTCACTTCTGAAATACCACAAATAGAAGCCTGATGAATAACAAAATAATGGAGCATCACTCGCATACGGACAGCAATCTCATTCTTGAATAGATTTTGAATCTAGAGGAATAAATAATAAGTGACTTGTGGCAATTATCGGGACAAATTTGAGCATAGCGTGACACAAGTTTTCTACCCTCAATTTGCAACAAATGTTGCAGAAAATAAAATAGAAAAGTCACTTCAAGGTACAAAAGTTGGTTCAAAAAAGTAATTTTAAGCAAAAATCGTATACTGTGAACCCTACTTACCTGAAAGTGGTGAGTACCACGCTCCCGACGATTGGCTATCGACAAGCCCATTAGGCTTACCAACGAAGATTCTCTGCCAGGTCCTACCATGCCTGGAGTTTGAGCAACCATACCGTAGATTTCTTGCAGAATATCTTCGGCCAGATGTCCGACAACCGTGTCCCTTGGAACCTCCTCCTCAATGCGGTATATTAGTTGGGCTGGGCCACCCGATACCTGTTCTTCTGATGCTCGAGGTATGCCAAGATTGCTGGAAGATTTCACTTGAAAGGAGGAAATCTCAGGGCTGATTGAGTGCAGAAAGAAGATAAGCATGCTGGTAAATCGAAGAGCGGAAGAGATATGCAGACTTTTTTTTGAATAAAGCATCTGGTTCATCGAGACCAAGGGTATCGATGCTTCCACTTTTTGCATTTTTGGCAGAATAGGCCCAACGGAACATTCAATATTGGAGGGTTCGGAAAGTTAGGTTCTTTGCTATTCACCTAAATTGGCAAAATAAAAAAAAATAGGGCTTGGTAAAACAGTTAGACAAGAAATGCAAAGAAAACTGCACAAAACCAAATTTTTTTATAGGAACGCATACCAATAGTTAGATGGAGATTTGCTCCATTCGCTATCGTATACATTCTTGAGCATATTGGAACAATAGAGCTTTGGAGATTTTATACGTAAGTGGTAAAATGTGATCGTCTCATGGAGCCAGCCAAATTAAGGAAAATTTTCTCTCCAACTAATTGTTATTCTTCGTAGTCAGCCAGAAATATAGTAAAATAAGCAGTTACAAAAATCTTAGATTAAAATTTGCCACAGCAAAAAATATGCTCTATCGTATTTCAGAAATAAACGGTCGAATAAGCAGAACTAAGCAGACCCCATAGATCAGTTTTCTTGTGAAGCATAAAAACTCACGGGAAAAATACCTAAACTTAAATATGTTCCCAAGATATATAAAAGCAGATCAAGTTGCCAGGGGTATTGTCTTCACTTGTCAATATGATTAATTTTATCTATTCCCTGAAGTAGATATTTCTCCTGACTATGCCGACTACAATAGTAGCAAAACATTTGTGAATTTAATAAACAAACGATCCAAAGCTAGAAATTTTCATGAATACCATGGAAAGTAGGGTTTTTGGTCTTACTTCAATTTCGAGTGAAAGTGTTGAGTAAAAAGATTCGAAGATCAATCCTACCAGAAGACGATAGCGAATTCCTTTTGACCAGCCGTTGATTGGCTTTACTGGAGCATTCTTGTTGGCGATGCTTTATAGGTAATATTCCACTTGACTCGTTAGCTTAAATATGCTTGTAAAGATGATACCCTGCTCCGATAATGTCCATCAGACAACAAGAATGTTTTAGTACAGCCAATCGTTAGTTGGTCAGGAGGAATCCGCCATCGTCTTCTGATGGGATTGGTCTTCGAATCTTTTAACCAAACGCTTTCACTTGAAGTAAAAGTCAACTCAACAATTACAAAACAAGAGATTTCTCAAAAGCCAACTTTTTTTCGCAATTGAGTTTCACAAGGTCTCTATATTGTTCCGTTAAAGTTGCAAATACTAAGTTAAACAGACACAAATCAAATAAGTCTATTTAATAATCTCAGTATTACTGCTATATTGCAGCAGGTTGGGCAGTTTGAAGTGCTCTAATAGATGAAATATTAAGGCTGTCTAACGAATTCTTTTGATAGACGAATTAAATAGAAAAAATAGTTGTTTAACGAGATAATATAAGAAGCAAACAAAGATTTCTAATTAATGTGAAAATAAATAGGCATAATTTGGGAGTTGTAATGATTACGACCATCATGCGGATGCTAGGGGTATAGATATGCATAAATTAAAATACTAATCTGAATATTGATATGAAGAGGTTTAGGAATAACCAAATGAAAACGACTTTGTTATGCTACTGAGGACAAAATGATTCATATTAATGATAATTCTCTAGAGAAATCATTTTAAATTTCTATTTGAATATTAGATATTCAGATAGAGAAATGAAAGTCTGCACAAATGCACGAGAAAAGCATACAAGGCTGGGAGCCATGACATCCTATACCAGCACTCATGTGTTATATTTAAATAGGTCTTCTACTATGAAAAGAACGCTGGCCAGATTAACTGTATTCTTGAAATAAGGGTATTATAGTCCTGTAGATCGGCTATTCATGTTCGAGATGGATGGCCTTGCAGACTAAAATCATGCTCTATTATCCGTTAGTTTAAGTGATTAGTACAAAATTATGAAGGCAGAATATATTTTATTTGAGTCAGAGTCAAATCTCAGGCCTTTTACATGGAGAGTCGAGTATGATTTAGTTCCCTTTAAATATTCCTCTTTCCTCTTGAATTCCTCATTGCACTAGAGAAAAAACCTTTAAAATTTATTTACACGGGCTTGGCCTGAGTCTTAGCTTTCTTAATATAGTTCAAAAATGTTTAAAAGAATCTATTATATAACATATGCACTCACTTCCTCGGCTTTCGTTAGTTAGGATAAGTTAAATATGTTGAGGTATCATAATCAGAGGCGAAATTTCGTTAATTTTTGATATGGGACGAGAAGATTTGCTGGTTTATCTTACAAGGATTTGGCAGATTTGCTTTAGTCTGTTTCATTTCGATTTTAGTAAATTTTCGGATTTTTTGGAAGGAATTGTTGAGAAGCGGGATCGTCATATAATACTGACTGTTGGATTGTGCGAAGAAATTTTCGGCTCACCGTCCTGCTAACCTGATGACTCCGAACTATGTCTTTGTCTGTCATGTGAAAGAAGTTGTCAGAGTAAGAAACCATACTTTACAAAATAGCGCACAAATATGCTAAATCGAAAGAAAAGGTGTATAATTTTGGTGGCACGAAGCATTCTTTTCAGGATCCAACAGTCTTCCCTCCAAGACAATCATCTTTTGCCTTTTTGAGAGAGCAATTTACGAAGTCCTTCCAACCAACATTCTATTTGAAGTAGTAACTTCAAACTCGCTTAAGGGATCTTTAAATTACAGTATTTATAGAGAGTTGTTCATAACCTAACAGCTCTCAGAACATTGCCTTTCGATTGCGATGAAACAGTCCCGGACATTCATTTTGATAAGAATCAAAGGACGGTGTCGCGATGACAATTATAATCTTTGAGTCTCACTAAAGTCAAAATGTATGGAATATTTGACTCACTTCCCTTATATATTTTATAATAAGTCTTAGTTAGACACAAAAAATTGTTTGGAGGCGCTTCTTTGAATCCTTCCTGAGGAATATGAATCTGCAGGTTCGCATCCGTTCAAAATTTGATTATAAATATTATAAAAATTAATTAAGTTTAGGAATTCCTTGTCATCTTTCGTAAATTCTTGAGCAAGTGTGAGAGGTTTAAGTAGTTTAATTATCAGCCAAAGATAGACGATCTGGTAAGTGGTTATGCGAACATGCAATATCAAAACTAACTGGAATGACGCAGGCACCATAAGAGTCAAGACCTCTACAAAACAAGCTAAATATAAGTTGCAATAAAATTAAAATGATTGTAGACAGCGCGAGCGGGGAAACATAGATAGAATATCTGAATTTTTAAGAAGATATGTGAACATCCGTAAGCAGCTTGATATTTGGCAACTTTCAATACAGATGTGATTACTTTGTTTAATTTACAAAATTGTTCTGCTCTAGCGATGCGCCTGCTTAAATGTTCCCATGTATGCAATTGTCTAAATACAAATATCTAGTCTCTAGAATGTCCTAAGAAAGAGAAATAACTCAAAGGTTTTAATTGGAAATAAGGTATCTCAAATAGACATATTAAGCCAGATGGATTCAAAGTTGCCCATAAAGACATATATTTCAGGTTTGATAGGGCAGACTCATATTGAAAGGATATTTCTTTCAACTTTCAGGTATAACCGGTTAGCTCTTTATTAAACATTCTCAACTGTATTTAATGTCTTTCCTCTGAGTCACAAGTATCACTATCATTACTGACCCTATTGGCTTCAGTAATGTGATATATGATCTCATTCTTAGTTGACTACCTATAAGCCTTGAATTACATAGTTCTCCGGTTCACTATAAAATAGCAAAGATTAGTTAGCAGAGTATTCCAGATATTAGTAATGAATATAGATGGAATAGTAAAGTTTAAATTTTCCTACATAACTTTATTGCTTTTCTGTGCTTCAAAAGCTATTGTTAGAAGCATAAATCACAAAATTTAACAGGCTGGCTAAATTTAATTTATCTTGCCACTTCATTCACATCAATTAATAATTGTTGGTCTTTAACCATTAATTGAAATTTGTTTTGATTGGCTACTGCATCTTTAATTATATTGAAAAAAAGCTGAGTTTTAACAAATCAGATAATTTGGTTTGAAAAAGAGAAGTAAAAGGATTCATAATTTCTTTATAGTCCAGCACGATTGTTAAAATAAGAGGATAAATTGTATTCCTATATAAGTAGAGTTTCGAGACTACCAGCAAATTAATTATATGAGACGTATTCGCCGAGTGGTTAAGAAGTCAAGCTTACATACTGTATTGTCACGATTCACCTCCCGCTGGGGGTGTTGATAAGGTCGAAACTGCAGTCCACCCTGGATGAGATGAACTTTTGGAAAGCAAGGCTCTGTAAAATTCAATGGAAACGTCAGCTATACTTCTATCATTGTGGGGAAATTCGTCTATGATACTAAGGAGTCTGCGCCTAGCAGATACGAACCATAGGGACCAGGAGATTAGTAGATTGAGGGATATACTGTTTCAAAACAATTAGCCATTAGGATTAGTAGAGAATTACATATCACTTGCAGTTAACAAAATTAAGGAAGTTTGCTATCAGGCACGGGATAGAAAACTGGATACTTCTACTCGGTTCCTGATTTTGCCTTCTTTTCAGCTCGCTAAAAAAGTTGGGTGAACTATTAGGGCAATTGAGCATATAAACAATGTGAAAAGAGAAATTAACACTTTATTCAGTAATTCATTCGTTTAGAGACTATTCAGACCCTCTTTCTAGATCAGGCTGTTGCAAGCTTTTGTGCTTATGTGGTAATGTTTATGTGGAGGAGACAAGCCGACTCATTCGCAAGAGAATAAGCGAACACAAAACCGCTTGTAAGAAGCGTGAGTCCAAATATCTGAGCTTGCCGAACAGATGACCAATACAGGACCCTCAATAGACTGGTCCAAAACACGACTTTTTGCGGGTTACGGGGACTTCCCGTCAAAGCCTAAGATTAGGCAGTCTATAGAAATTAACAAAACAGCCACTTTTGTGGCTGTTTTGTTGTGTCTAGCTAGGACTATCATACTATTCATGGCATGAGCATTGCAAATGTAAAATAGACAATACCATGAGTCCAAACATAAATTAGCATTAGGCGATCGTACGTTAGTTTTTGTGGGAGGAAA